TAGATAATCCTTGAGTTATGACCACAGTTGAGCCCAAATTTTATGTTGCTAAGTGAAACATTTCTTAAGTGAGTTTTGCCCATTTTACAATTTCTTGCCATTTCTTGCCACAGTTGTTAAGTGAATCATTGCATTTGTTAAGTTTGTAACATGGTTGTTAAGTGGATCTGGCTTCCGCATTGACTTTGCTTATCAGAAGGTCTCAAAAAGGGATCATGTGACCCCAAGACACTGCAACCATCATAAATATGAGCCAGTTGCCAAGCATCTGAATTTTAATCATGTGAACATGGGGATGCATGCCACTGGAAAAAGTAAATTACAACAATTTTTCACACAATCGTTGTAGCATCTCCATGGTCACGTGATCAAAATTTGGATGCTTGGCAACTGGTTCATATTTATGATGGTTGCAGTGTCCCCAGGAACATATGATCCCTTTTGCAACCTTCAGACAGGCAAAGTCAATGGAGAAGCCATGTTATGGTTCACTTAACAACTGTGGCAAGAAATGTCGTAAAATGGGGCAAAACTCACTTAACAAATACCCCACTTAGCAACATAAATTTTGGGCTCACTTATAATAGTAAGTTAAGAATTACCTGTATTCTCTAACTTTTGAAAGTATCTGAAAATTATAGTAGTTACACTCTTAACTACTAAGCCAGCGGTTAGGACCCCATTTGGGGTTGAACGACCATTTCATGGGGATCGCCAAACAACACAGTCCGCCATTTTTTTCCCCTTTTCCTTAGCTGTGCTACTCCCTTTTATGCTATTGGCTTTTGAAAGCCAATAGAATAGACTCTCTTGAATAGAGTCTAATTCTATTGGCTTTCAAAAGCCAATAGGAATTGTCTCTGCCCTGCTGAGCCCATCAAAAGTCCCATTCTGCAAACAGTGCTGCAAGCTGTCTGCAGCGAAGGCGAGCTGTCTGGAAGTTTCCACCCCTCCCTGCTGAGCAACTACTAAAAATGTAAGTAAAAGAGGGCCAGGGGTGGGAGGTGGGAGGCCGGCAGGCGCAGGGAGGGTTGCTGGCGCGCGTAGGGCCCGACGGGTGCCTTACCTCCCTTGGGCTGGGCCAGCTGGTGGCCCAGCCGGTGGTCAGCCCGCGCCGTTTCTGCCGCTTGCCAGCTACGCCTCGGCTGGCGCAGGGGGCGGCACCATGCATGCGTGGCGCTCCCAGGCAGGGAAAGTCCTCGACTTACGACTGGTTGGGGGTCGCAGCATTAAAAAGGTTGAGAACCACTGTACTAAGCTGATGCACATAGGGAATGAAATATTTTGAAAATGTTTTTAAAACAATACATGGATTCATAAGATCATCCAACTTATGGGCAACTCGCACATATGAATGGGCTGTTTATTATTAAAAATAGGGCACAGCCTTCTCTTCTCTTAAGCCAACAAAACTTTTCATGAACTGCTGAAGCCACAGGTTCATTGGCTCAAAGAAGAACGGCATCCACCATTTTTAGTGATCAGCAGTCTGTCTGTAAATACAAGTTCCAATTTAACACATAAAATTCAAGTTAAAGACAGATTTAGGAACAGATTTTTTTCTTAACCCAGGGATTGCCAGTCTTTTCAAATTAGTCAGAATAACATTATCACAGAAAAACATTAAATTGTTTGACATTATGCACAAGCTATTAATGTTTAATTCAAAGCCTTTTGGTAAAGAGTAGTACTTATTACCAAGGAAGTGCTTTTGCTGAATGAATGTGATTAACTTTGATTAAAGAACTGTCATATCTCAACATGAAAGCACAAAAGTGTGGAAGTGAAATGGGCAGAACTGCTGCATATACATACTTACTAGATGTTAATTACATGCAAATCAATCATTCATCCAAGTCTCCTAACGCATACTGTATATAGCTTGCACAATAAGGGCAATTTGATCAATATGCTATATAGTATAAAGATGCTTATTTTGAGCAGAGCTAGAATGATTGATGAGTCTGGCTTGCTTGAATTCTCATGTCGGCCTTGATCACACAAATACTCTTAGTTTTAGAACTTTCTGCAATGCAAGAATACTAACAATCCGTTTTCCCCGAGCCTGAGCCTGGCAACCATCAAACTATAATTTCCAGATAGCTGATTGGCAAAAAAAAAAAAGAGTTCTAATCTAGAAGGTATCTTATTCAAACTTAGAAAAGCGGCTATATTAGGATAATCAAAATCATGTGCATGAATTAGGAAAATGATCTATATGAGTGATGGTCAATTTGGAAGTTCTGATATTAATTTACGAAACACAATTTAGTGCACCCATCAGAAGTTGCTCTGTACTTTTTGGAAGAGAAGTAAGCTACTTTAGAAGTCAAGAATTAAGGTTTTATTGATGTTTTTCCTATGTTGATAACTTCCCATTTCAAAGAGACCAGTCAGCAAAATGTACAAAATGATTGCCAGATGAACACTAAAGGTATCTGGGAGCCAGCATAGGGAGGAATAAAACTGTCTTCCTGCTCAGCTCTAATTTTCATTACAATCAATAAAGGGCACCTGCAGGCTGAAACATACAATCCTTGTGGCGTCAGTGCATAAAGCCCTCAATTCACCTCTGTATTATTGAAAAACAATGCAGCCACAAGGAAGCCAGCAGGCCTCCACTATCAGGCACACCTCATTCAGAATTATTTCCTTCTTTTCTTCGTTGCTTCCTAAGCTCAATTTGAGAGTTTCACTCGTTACCCCCGCCTGCTCTTCCCATATTAAAAATTGATGTCCTAGTGGAATTCAATAGGGGTGGCATTTCTTTACCCAGGCAGCAAGTGGATCAGGAAGGAAGCATCAGAACTGCGGGAGGGAAGAGGGAAGAAAGAGGTGGAAATGGTCGGCTGGTTTGCCCGCTTCTAACAAAGCAACAGAGAGGAAGCGGGGAGAACATCTGGCAGGCAGAAACACAGCTGAAAACAAGGTCAGAAACAGGACTGTTGCTGAAACAGGTCATTTTATATGTTCTTTGGGACTAAACAGTGGAATGAGGAGGGTGTAATGCTATCCTCCTTCTTTTTAAGGCTACTAAGGTGGTAAGTACAGCTATATAGTCTTCAGTTCAGCAGCAAGCATGTTACGACGACAGTGATAAGAATATCTGCAAAGGGCACCATCTTCAGACTTAGGTTGACAGTCTAGATCAGTGCTTTCATAGAAGGTAACTAAAGATGGCCAGAGATCCTATATAAGCTGATAAGTTATACCAACACCTTTACTCAGGTGTCACAGTTATCTATCGAGTGTTTGAAATGAGAAACGGCAGCAGGCTGAATGAGCAGGAAAAGAATGAACAAAGCACCAGAGTGTTAAGTTACTTGTAATTAACATTATCATGAAACTCCAGAATACATAAACAATCCATGGAGGGTTTTTTTGCTTTTAAGTTATCACTTCTTCCCATTATGAACTTAAATCAGCAGCCAGCATAACACTCAAAAGATATACGCACTGCAGTCACTTAGTGGTTTATTTTATCAATATTGCCACCAAATACGCATGGACAAATCTATCAAGTCACCACAATCTGAGCTTGAGGGAAGCTTCATCTTATTCTATTCAAGGGTCACACATAAATGTCAGCTTGGTTAATTTATCTGTTTTTATCAAGGGTCATCCTTGTGCTTCCCTATTGTTGGAAACATTACTGAAACTTAAGTTCATATGATTCCACATGTGAATATTTTACATGCAAATGAAGCATATTAAATAAAGCATATTGATATAAAGGTGTTATATCAATAAATGGTCTTAAAGAAAACAGTGACCCCTAATGGCTGAGGCTGATTTTTTTTTTTTAATTCCTTGTTCAATCTGGTACAGGTAGTCTTCATTTAGTAACATAATTGAGACCCGCAAATTGGTCATTAGGAGAAGCAATTGCCATGTGAAACTGATCTGAGCTTATGATCTTGTTTCAACTTTCCTTTACTTTATAGACCTGCTAAGATTATAAATGTCATGAAGTTATGTTATCATCACCATTCTAACTGCAAAGTTACTAAATGAGGCAGTCACTAAATGAATATTATCTGTGTTTTCAATACAAATAAGTTAAGGTTTTCGGGATAAATGCATAAGCAGCAGCCACATAAACCTTATTTTTGTTCAAAAACAATTTCAATTATTGTATTCTATGTGAATAATAAAAACCCGTTATGTATTTCTGGTGGTTGCATAATAATGTTTAATAAGTTAATGCCAATGTATCCTTTAAAATTATATTACTTTATGTTGCTTTAAATCAGGGGTCTTCAAACTTGGCCCTTTTATGACTTGTGGACTTCAATTCCCAGAATTCCTCAGCCAGTTCCTAATTTGGCTCCGTGAGTATTGGGCTGCCATTAAACAAAGGTGTCTCACTTGGGTTTAAATCGCATTCTACTTTAATACACCAGAAATTTAGTAATAAATGTAAAAAAAACCAAGAGAATAAACAATAAAAATAAGAGTGGACAGAAATTGTTTTTTTTTTATCAGAAGTGATCACGTACAGCCAATAAGAAGTAACTTATATTCTAGTATTTTACACTAACATTATGGCAAAGAGTGATTTCTTCAGTGATTCATCAGCAAATAACACAGTACAATTCCTCATTGTTTACCCTTTGACACGGCAATTTTTAAGAGAGACAGAAGTTTATTTTACAAACTGTTATCCCTCACCCTTGAGTTTTACTTTCAAGCTCTAGTTGAGTTAAAATGGTCTCGCAGAAGTGATACAGAAGTGCAAACTTTCAGTTTATGCCTTAGCAGAAAACAACTTCTCTGAGGTAACCAGATATTCAGGCAAAAAGAAGGTGGAGTAGTCTCAGCTAGACTGTGAGCTATGTAAGAACATGTATGTTCATACATCATGCTATGGGATAGCTTTCACCATGGGTTGTTGAAATCCACCACTTGGTTGACACATTAACACCTAGTATTCACACAACTTACAATACCAGACTTTGTTAGCAGAAATGGTGAAAAAGGACAAAGTACACAATAGGAAGTTATTTGACAACAATTTCAGGACTCTTTAATAGGCAACTAAGCACAAAAAGCATAATTAATTACAAATTCATAGGCATTAAAGATGTTTTAACAGACAAATCTTTTGATATAAATATAATGTAACCTGCTATTCACAGCAATTTGAAATCAGTGGCCACAGAAAATGTAGTTTTAAATACAAAGTCTATCTTACTACTCTTTAGCTTGCATTCTGTTATCTAAATCTCTTTTGTACACTGTACATAAAACACAATTACCTTCCTTAAAAGCAAGAGGAATCAACTTTTAGGTCCAAACCTATAGTCAAACCATTCTTCCAGCCACATGTTTTGGTTTAATCATAAATTATCTGAATTACTTGCAAAGTTTATAGCTTGCAGGATCCTAAATATTTTTGTCTAAATGCCACAAATTCATATAAACGTGCAGATGGCAGTAACAATGACAATACTGACAATGCAATAGAAAATCTCAAGTGAAAACATGGAATGCTTTCAATCATAATGCCGTAAAAGTTATGATCACATGACTTTAACAATAGTTTGCAGCTATCCAACTAAGCCTTCAAGGAAATCCACAAAAAGTACAAGATAATTTCTATGGACAATAATAAAAATATAGCATTTATATATGCGTGTTGTGCCTGAAAATTACATTTTGGGAAGCTTCCTTGCCATATCAATATACAATTGGGATGTGTTCAGAAATGGGATCTTATGCATAATTTCAATCATTTATGAATTTCATCTAATGTCATGAGTAGACTTCCTTTTGCACACTGAAGCACTGTCTTCCTCTTTTGCCATTATTCGCCAATTCTCCTATTTACCATCTATTCCCTTGACAAATGAATACTTTTGGATGCAACCTTGTGTATCTATTAATAAGAACAAAGGGAGCTCTTTGCATGAAAACAGGGTAAGCTTATGCAGCTGGGCATCCTCACTTGTCTAATTATTCATAGAAGTATGGGTATAGTGCAGATATAATACATGTTATTATTTTAGTTTAGTTTCTCAACACAAAAATCCGTACAGTATTTAAGGTACGAATGCCTCTCAATTTATATTAGACAAATAGTTTAGTAAAACAATCATTGTCACTGACAATCTATTCTTCACTATCAGTTTACAAATAGCAGGATATAGTGCTTTTTCAAACCTATTTAGAACACCAGGAGAATATCTGCCAAGTTTCGTGCTTTGTAGGCAACTTCGTTCTCATATCCTACAACCAGCTCTGCATCTCTTCTTGATATCTCTCTGGATCAATGAACGGTTTATCAATGGATCGGATCATTATGTCACCGCAATATACACACTCAGCTGCCACAATATCATCTATGTCAGCTTTTGTCTGTTCTCGACTTGGCTGACCTTTTCCTTGACCAAGAGTATCTGTATCCTTATGGCGGTGATGGGATTTGGAAGGCTGGCTTGCAGCCAGCAGCTTCTTTTGAAGGTCTTCCAGTTTAGCTTGCTTATAGGCAGGCAGGTTTGGGTAAACTGCCTGCAGAAGGCAGTCATAGTGAAACATGTGGCCACAGAGAAAAAGGTAAAAAGGACGGTTTAGAAGTGGAAAATCACACGCTGCACATTTTTCCTGTGGTTCCACAGAGCCATATTTGTTTCTCATATCCTGAATGTCCTCCCTGATCCTTTCAGCACTTTGGGTTGCTTCCTCCATCTCTGTCTTCAGCTCCTCTATGTGCTTGTTATAGGCCTCTAGAGAGTTGCAGATAGCTTCCTTGAAGTGATCAATGGTGACAAAGTCTGGGAAGAAAGGCAACACATCTTCAATCTTCAGCAGATTGCAACTAGAAAGGCAAGCCATTGCTTTCTTAACATCCTTCTCTTCTTGTACTACATGACGAGCAATCTTCAGCCACAGCTTCTTTCTCAACTCCTCATCCTCTTCAGGCAGATCTGCACAGGATTTTGCCATATCTACATCCACCTTAAAAGAGAAAAAGAAAAAAAAACAGAAAGAAGGGGGAGAAAAGAGAAAAGGAAACAGTTATACCATCTCTTATCATAAAAAAACACTGTTGAAAAAATGTGAGAGAGATAATATTGAAAGCAACAACACAGGGATACAAGAGCAGATATTTGTAGATACATCTTCAGCCAATACTGGATACTGTTTTTAGTAGTGGCAGATCATTTTAGAGATCAGACATTCTAAGATGCAACAAGGCTAAAGTAGTGGGAGAACAACATTTTTTTCCTTAACCTATCCTATCCCTTTGTGCTGGGGGATTCCTAACCTGAACTCTGCCTTCAATCTCAGTTTATCAGCTTCCCATGAACAATGTTAGTTGCTCTTGAGATAAAGTTGGCTACAGATCCTTGATTTACAAACAGTTGTTTAATGACTGTCTGAAGTTACTGCCACCTCAGAAAAGTTATTTATGACCTATCCTCGAACTGTCCCACTACTTCCAGTCACATGATCACATTTTGGGTAGTTGGCAACCAATTGGTGTTGACGATTACATCATCCTGTGGTCATGTAATCACATTTGGTGATATTTTTAACAAATGTAAAGCTAGATTCAGATTTACAGTGGATATAGAAAGTCTACACACCTCGGTTCAAATGTCAGGTTTTGAGTTGAAAAAAAAATCAGATGAAGATAAAATACTTTAGATTTTTTCCCACCTTTAATATAACATATAAGTTCTATAATTCAATTGAAAAACAAACTGAAATCTTTTAAGCGGAAAATAATAAAAAACATACAATAATATGGTTGTACAAGTGTGCACACCCCTTATAAGGAGGGATATGGCTGTGTTCAGAATTAACCAATCACATTCAAACTGATGGTAAATAGTGGTCAGTACACACCTGCCATCAATTAACATCCAAGCCCAGCTATTTTTTTGCAAAAACCTGTATCAAGTGTGACAAAAGCATGTGGGAAAATGTGATACGGTCTGATGAGACCAAAGATGAACTTTCTGGCCATAATTCCAAAAAATATCTTTGGCAGGGAAAAACACCACCACTGCACATCACCAAAAGCACACCATATCCACAGTGAAGCATGGTGATGGTAGCATTATGCTTTGGGGCTGCTTTTCTTCAAATGGAACTGGGGCTTTAGTCGAGGTGAAGGGAATTATGGACTGATCCAAATAGCAGTCGATTTTGGCACAAAACTTTCAGGCCTCCGCTAAAATGCTGATCATGAAGAGGAATTTTACCTTTCAACATGACAACAAACTACACCTCCAAATCAACAAGAATGGCTTCACCAGAAGATTGAAGTTTTGGGGTGGCCCTGCCAGAGCCCGGACCTGAATCCAATTGAAAATCTGCAAGGAAGATTCCCAAGGCTTGACGTGCCATGCTATTAGGCTCCTCCCTTAGAAGACTGAATGCTGTCATAAAATCAAAGGTGCTACAGCAAAGTATTAGTTTAAGGGAGCGCACACTTATGCAACCACGCTATTATATTTTTATTTATTTTTCTCCCTAAAAGTTTTCAGTTTTTCAATTGAATTGTACAGCTTATATTAAAGGTGGAAAATATTCTGATCCTGGTCCATATTTTTTTTATATCTCAAAAGTCTGATATTTTAACAGGGGTGTGTAGGCTTTCTACATTCACCGTTATGATATGATTTGCTTAATGACCATCGTAAAAACAGTCATAAAATCAAGTCCAGTCATATGGTGACATGACTTATGACTGCAATGACTTACAATCAGAATTCCGGGCACAATTGTGGTTGTCAGTCAACGACTATCTGTAACAGGCTTTCATCTAATATAGCAAGATAATTTTCGTATTAGAGAATCTGTTCTAGTAGTGTTTATTTTCTAATCAATAAATGCAGCAGCAGTTTTCTAATTCACTCTTGGTCTTCAGTCAATCTTAGATCCTGCCTACCCTTTTCAGTTTTTTAGATGATTATTTAAAAGATCCTGATAGTTCAAGAACAATTAAGGCAACCCGTTATTTATATAGAAGCATATTTACCTGTAAAGCTAGATCAACAGCTTCTTCATACATCTCCATAACTTTATAAACATGAACACAAGCTCGGTGGTGGCCATGTTCTGCGCAAAGCCTAAGTGCGTACTTCAGGTCATAATGGATACTATCAGCGAAGGTTCCAGCATGTACCAAGTATGACAGTAATGAGTCAGGTCGACACAAAGCATAGAGTGACAACAAATAATTGTGAATGGCCTCCTGAGTTTCTTCTAGCTCATTCACACAGAATTCCATGTATCGAATGGCTTCGTTGATCTGCTGGGTACTCCCACTCTGACTGTAGGTGACAAGAGCAGGAATTAGCCTCTTTGCATCCAATTCCTTGCCCATTTCAATCCAAGCATCTACCACTTGCTTGGGCATATGCTGGATCAAAATTGGAGAAAACTTGTAAAAAAGTTCCTCGTTCTTGATTCTGGATAGGACGTTTAATGCTTCATTATAATTTTCATGCTGACAGTAATGGGCTATCACTCTCTCGTAATCATTCATTATGACAGCAAAGTATACCATGTGGTCTGTGTCCCCATGACTTGCCAACAGCTCATGAATAGTTGATCGATTGTTGCGGAACGAGTCTTTGATTTTGGGGCTACTCAAGAAATTCCGAAACTTCTCCTTGGTCTTCTCATAGAGGTCTTGTTTTGAGCCGTCCCCTTCCAGCATCCCCAAGCGATTTAAATATAGTTCAGTCAACCAAGTGGTTAGCAGAGTTATTTGTGTTGTTTCAGACTGCTTCAAGCTAGCCAGTTTCTTTATCAAAAATTCCATCAGTGCCTCTTCCTGTTTAGCTTCAATAAATTTAAGAGCAATCTCCTCAAAGTAATTTTGGGTCAGCGCATAACACTTTGCACTATCCAGATATCTCTTGTTTTGGAAACAGTATTCTGCTTCTTTTGCCAGCACAATATCTAGGCACTCGGGGCGGTCCTTACAGTACTCTTTAGCCAAATCAAACTTGTTGATATTCATGTACATCTTCCATACATCACGAGATTCTCGCTGAACGTTATATCGAAACACAACTTTCTCAGTGTGAATCCAGATTTGTCCAAATGCAGGATCTTTGATCATACGCTTTAGTGAGCCAAACTTTTCTAAGAATACGTCCTGGAAGACAACTTGCCCATTCAAAGTACATACAGCCTTCACTCTATCAGGAAAAAGCAGCAGAAAATGAAACTGTGTGAGCACTATGGAGATGGGCTTATTGGCTAGTGTAGCTACATCAGAAGGATATTCCCACACTTGCTCATCACTCAGAACAGAATCAGGATATCCATAATCCAGAGAGCCATACAAGACCCCATTTCCCATCATCCAAGCAAAAGCGCTGGGCGAAGAACGAAGCTTGGGAGTGTAGAATGCAATTTCACTGTAGCCAAGACTAGCCGGAAACTCTCGAAATCCAGGCAAATGATCTTCAGGCATGTTAAATATGGTGCCAAAGGCTTGCGGCTCTGACCCTTCCGGAATCTTGCCAACAAACTGGAAAAGCCGCTTATGAGTGGTGGCAATGATAAACCTTTTCCCGTCAACTCCTCGTTCTATTTCAAGGCAACAGACTGGGGCAGGACCAGCTTCCTCCTCCAAGGTATAAATCAGACGGAAATATTGATCAGGATTAGTACTAAAGAGACTGCCTTCAGAGACAGAAATCTCTGCCTCGTATATTTGGCCTTGTGAGGTTCCAACCAAAATGGGGCCTGTGTTTATCTCTGTACCAAAAATTTTATTCCAACCCACACTTTCAATCAAGTGACCTTTCCAACGGGAAAGAAGCCGTATCTTTTGAGTACTTCTATTCAAGTAGAGACACTCGCTGCTATTCAGGGCGATGATAAGATGAGAACCTGTAGAGAAAGAGGATGAAAAGGAATTAACCTAGAATTACAAGAAGGACCAAATGTGAAGCTTGGATGTTTGAGATGCTATGAATTTAGATTTCACAGTCCCCAAATATTCAAAAATACTCAGGATTATATTTGTCAGAGTCCTACTGGATAGTTTTAAAAGCTCGCTAAACTAGTCTAAACTAAGGAGAAACTTCCTGACAGGACAATTAACCAGTGGAACAGCTTGCCTCCAGAAATTGTGGGCGCTCCATCACCAGAGATTTTTAAGAAGAAGCTAGACAGCCACTTGTCTGAGATGGTATGGTCCTCCTGCTTGAGCAGGGGGCTGGACTAGAAGACCTCCAAGGTCCCTTCCAGCTCTATTCTATTCTAGTCAGCATCATTTTCAATAGGTTGATAACTATAAAAAGCCATAAGGAAGACGAATCAGATTTTCTGTGAGAAAATATACTGAGATAAAATGCAAATAGTCAGAACACAATGTTTAGACTACTTACTAAAAATACCAACTACCATTCCGCAATCCCTATTATCCTCTTACCTGTGTGGTCCAAGAAAAGCTTATAAACACTGGCTTCATCTTTTCGTCCAAGTTCAACCTGATTAGGCTCATCAGCCTTGGCTACGTCAAGTCTACATAAAAAGGGAGGAAAGCAAAGATTAGAAAGAAAACAGATAGAAACACTGTTATAAAACAGTTTATGAACCCAGTTTCATGCACATTTTTTCAAAATAGATTTTGTATTTTGTAAATCTACCCTGCACCCTAAGCATTTCAACCAAGATCATGAGACTAAGAACTGCCACTTTCAATTCAAGGGTCTATGAGTTTATTGAGGCACAAATACTATTAATAGCAATAATAAACAGCACAGAACCTGATTATTTGAGGGGATATGTCTTTGCTATGAATCTTTGTAGTTATCTGAATGAGCCAGAGAGGCTCTTTTGAAAGTGCCCCCATTATCAGAAGTTTACCATCTGGTACTCATGTAGTTTCCTGCTAGGAAATGCTTTCCCCAGGAAGGAGTGATTGGGTCCACTTTCCCAGTATAATTTCTGTTAATTCTGCTGACTATTAAAGCATGGTCTGAGGGCAAGTTATTATAAAAATATGTTTTTGCTTTTGTACATGCAGTTAATAGGTCATTTAATATTATTTTCACTATGGGTAACCAGTGGCTGATTTTTTTTCTTTCCAGCATTAAGCTTAACCTTAAATACAGATCTACACAATTTAACTGCTGTATTTGCATAACATGTTATGCCCAAATAAGCAATGTCATGGTCACACGTGACGGCCTGGTTTACACAATATGCAAGAAAATTACAAAATTCCCCAGATGCCGAGAATGACAATCTATCCATCTTCTTTTTAGCCTAATTTAGTACGTTGTTCAAGCCTAAATGTAAAATAATAAAATACAAGATAAAAGAAAGCAAATTTATTCAAAACTTGAAGGAGTCAGAAATCAATCTTGAAAACTGACAATGTCAACATTTCCATAAAACCAGAAAAAAAATTTCTTGTCTCTCACATTTGAAATTACTTTACTGCTAGGTCGTTTTTTAAAAAATCTAGTCCAGTAAAATCCACTCTGGCTAAGAAAAGCTTTTGAGGGTACAGCGTTATGTGGGTACAAGTTGATTTCTTTTTTGAGGTTCTTTTTTTGCTGAAAATATCAATTGAAGATTCTAAGATTTTAACTCCCAGAATTAAGATTTTAACTCCCAGAATAACAATCAGTATTTTTTTCAAGTCTGGGTGGGATGCAAGCTACATTTTGCAACAACAAAGTACAAGAAATTAACAAAAATATCAGCCATTTTATTGTATACATAATCTGAAGGAGAGGGCATATTTCTATTTAAGTATGGAACTTGGAGATATACCTGAATGTACAGTACTCTTGTCACTAAAGCCAGAGAGACTTTTGATAAACTTCCAAATGAGCGCTAATAAATTAGTGTATTATGATTGACTAGGCACAAAACTGCAGGGACTTCTCCAGTCACCAAAAGTCAACAATGGGAGGGGGGAGGGCCTCAAAATGGATCTGCTAGAACAGTGGTTCTCAACCTTTTTAATGCCGCGACCCCCAACCGGTCGTAAGTCGAGGACTACTCAACCGGTCGTAAGTCGAGGACTACTCAACTGGTGCAGCACCATTTGCAGAATGGGACTTTTGGCGGGCTCAGCAGGGCAGAGACAGCCTGGACAATTCCTATTGGCTTTTGAAAGCCAATAGAATTAGACTCTATTCAAGAGAGTCTATTCTATTGGCTTTCAAAAGCCAATAGAATAAAAGGGAGTAGCACAGCTAAGGAAAAGGGGGAAAAAATGGCGGACTGCGTTGTTTGGCGACCCCCGTGAAATGGTCGTTCGACCCCAAATGGGGTCCCGACCCACAGGTTGAGAACCACTGTGCTAGAATGTCAATGGGTGCAGCAAAATGGAATTATATTAAGTCTGATGGTCCAGACTCTGCACTGGTTTCCAGACTAATTCAAAATCTCCATGGCTATTTTTAAAGTCCTAAGTGACTTTAGATTCAAAATTTGAAGGAATGCTTCTCTAGCTATATATGCCTGCCCTGTTCTTAAGATCTTCAAGGAAGGCTCTCCTAAATATATCATATTCATGATGTGGTAATCAGAGAAAGGATATTCTTACAAAAAAAATGTTATGCAAAGATCTTGCAATCTAATCTCGCAATTATTACAGTCCAATTCAAAGTTTTATTTCCCTACCCTTTTAATGCTTTTATTATTTATGTTTAATAAAGCAGAGACAATTCTGTTCTGATTTCTTTTAAGAGGTAGTCTATAAATATGTAAAGAAATTAAGTAGTGCTTACCTAAATACTATGTCTTTTCCAAGACTCATACACAGTTGGTTAGATGAGACAATCATACTATTAATCTTCTTGGGAGGTGTGAAGTCAATTCTCTGTTTGTTAAAAATTGGTGTTTCTTTTTCCAGGCGAGCATTTACATATCCTTAAAAGCAGGAAAGAAATCAATAGTTCTTAAAAAATAAAATCAAACAGCAATGCAACCCAAGATTTTACAAGATTTTCCCTCCCTCATTCCAGTCCTACAAAATGAAACCTCCATTTATGTTAATTAGTTGCTAATACTTTTATTACCTGATTGATTCTGACCCACATTTTTCTTCAATTCTGGAATAACAGGGAGTGGAGTGAGAAGCAAAATAGAGACCTTAAGAAGTCTTAAGATATAATGTTAACGCATCCACCTTGTAATAACCCCAGACACCCCCCAAAAGTTGATCCTGGCCTCACTTACTCTTGTACAGTCACTTCTGACATGACAGGGTACAGCCCATAAGCTGATACTGCACTTTCCTAGTACAGGATACCACTGAGATTTTACTAAGCAGAAGGAACATGTATTATAAAGCTTAAGAAATTTAAGTAGGTTTAAGTCTAGTTTTGCCAAAGCAAACATATCTCAAGATCAGAGAGAAACTCATTGCATTCAAGTGAACTGGAATATTACATAATCCTTATGAAACAAAACAGAATGTGTGGTCAAGTACAAACAGATTGCATCAGAGCTTTGAGACCACATATGACTTTACATATGCCCTCTTTTTTAGGCCTATGTTTCTTACAAATATACAAAGTACCATGAAACCTTTTAAATAAGGTCTGCTAAAAGGATATGCTCAATTTACCACAGGATAAATAATAAGAAAGGGACAACCGCTTGTGGGTAAAATAATAACAGTTTCACTGGGATCGGAAATGAACTTTTATGTAGAATTGTGAGTCTGGGAAAATTTTACTGATAATATTTATTCAGAAGAACAAGAAAAACCACAGTCTTTTTTTTAACACTTAAAGTTGTGTACTATAAATTTCTCTTCCATTTTACCAGAAAAAAAATCCATTTCAGCATTTGCAAACTGTTTCATTTGTTGAAGCACTTCCCCCCCTTGGTCTCTCTTCTTTTTTGAGAAGTTCCCTAAGAATGGTCCTCCTGGCCTATTGTACAGCCACCTAGTGGCTGCCCTTAATAATAACTCTTTAATGTGAAAAAGGGCACACTGCCTTAAACACAGCAGTTTCAACTTCCCAATTATATTTGTTTAAAGGGGTGAAACAAACACTAAAGAATTGGAAGGAACGGTGTAGCTGTTAAAGTATCATAAGCTTTAGGTTGTTAGCTCCATCAATGCAGTTAAATTAGTAACACGGTTTTTAAGTGAATCTGGCTTCCCCATTGACTTTCCTTTGCAAAAGGTAATCACATGACCGTGGGACACTGCAACCATCACAAATACATGCAGTTGTCAAGCATCCAAATTTTGATCACGTTGACCATGGAGATGCTGCGATGATTTCAAGTGTGAAAAATGATCCTAAGTAACTTTTTCAGTGCCATTGTAACTTCAAATCATCACTAAATGAATGGTTGTAAGTTCAGGGCTACCTGTATTTACTCGCCTTTAAAACTAAGGAATAGCTTCAGAAGGACAGCTATTCCACCTACTACAGGAAGCAAGGGAAGCCTCTACTACTGAAATGACCTGAACAGGAATGAGAAACAGAATGACACTTTTTCAAAACAGGAGCCAGATTATGGAATTTACTGGCCTTGTACATCAGGATGTCTTTGAGTACTTTCAACTACATTTTAATGCCCACTGTTATTCTCCAGATGTTGCACCGCAGACCACTATGAGAAAATGGTAAAGGGCAAGGATATAATTTATTCTTAAAAATAAGCAAAGATATACTGTTCTAAGCAGAGGAAGGAAAAGGGTGAGAAACTCAACTGAGAGTGGGAAATAGAAGAGAGGACAGGAAAAAGTTGTACCAATCTTGTCTGAGACATTTAAAGATCAAAGCTGAGATCCTATTGCCCCCACATTGCTTAAACTGTTTGTTCAGGAGAAAGTAACACTAGACTAAAGGTAGTCTATGCATGGCCATTTAGTAACATGCATGGCCATTTAGTCAATTCATAACCAAAAAGAACAAGCTCTGCCTGTAAAGGGACATTCTGGCACTTCATTTGCTGATCAAAAAAGTATACTTCTGATCTGAATTTTCTCTCTCTCTCTCTCTCTCTCTCTCTCTCTCTCTCTCTCTCTCTCTCTCTCTCCTAAATTATCAAGAAAAAAACTGAAGATCAGAAATACAGATAACAAATGTTGGTCATGTCAATGCATTAACCAAGTAATGTTAGTATGCCAAATATCTAAAAATAAGTTAATTTAAAATGTTAACTGAAGGAGTAATTTTGTACAGCAATGCAAACAAAATGTGCATGTTTTTCCTCTCTTAAGTTTTTTTTCTCTCTCAAATTTTTAATTAAGAAAGCAATATGGCATATAGCATAATCTTTACCCTTCATTGCTTTTCAGAGGCAAGCTTCTTCAAAAGTAAAAAATAAATGGAATGGATGCAGCAAAGGCACTCCCATTGAAAGCAAGAACTCAAAAAATATAATATATATATTATGCCATTGTGCGCATTTAAAAAAAACTAGCAGATAGTAGGCAGCTAAAAATATGAAAGTTTCACAATCCAAACAGTGGGCATTTTTTTTCTTTTTATTACTGCTTAGCCATAACATTTTTTAAAAGTCTGTAGAAATTAATTCTTAATTAATTCTAAACTATACCGGTAAGAGCAATAATTTAGCAGAGAATTATACATCCCAAAGAAAAGCCCTCTTTTCTACCAAGATGAATTATATTAACATTAGTTATTGAGTAATCCTACTTGTGGTTTTATTAACTCTTTCCTCCCTGTATCACATTTCTGCATTAATTTGGCACTATTTTTCATTGGCTAGTGATTTAGAATATGCAACACCATTAAGTCCACATAGCTAAGACACTGAATTCTTGGTCTCATGAAATATTCAAGTTATATGCTGCAGTCTTTTTTGTTTAGGTACCAGTTAATTTTTCACTAAGGCTATCTAACAGAATTGAAAGAAATGGGCAGCAAACAAATTTAATAAATAAAAAATAAAATAAGTGATTTCTACTGAAATTCCTGGTTAAATACTCTATGTTCATCGAACTGACTTTCCCAGTATCAGGAAAGCACCACAGTGTTGGATAGAATCCATTAAAGCCAGAGCAGTTGGATTAATTGAGTCTTTAGATTCTAAGTACAGTAACCACTATAATGGTCTAGACTTAAACATTAGATAGTATCTTCCAAATTTTTAATCTAAGTGACTGGATGCAATTAATTTGAGGATGCAATTAAGCCTGCCTGCAGTCAGCTTTTATCAGGATGAACTGATTTAGCCAGCATCTTGTAAAACCTTTCATCAAGTTTTGCATAATTTCCAGACTACAGAGCAATTCGAAGCACGTCCTGACGCTCAGCATCAGCTCAACAGAGCTAATTTCGAGCGAAATATGTGTAGAAATGCCGCCCCAGGCTTTAGGATCCGTTTTTTAAAAATAAAAAAATAAAATAGCGAAAGAAACCAAAATTTACCTTAAAAATACGTCAAATGAACAGTGTCTAGCTTTTTAATGAAATGCGTCCTTTTTTGAAATGCTGAGAGTGGGTGTGTCAGGAAAAGAACGACATGTACACAATTCTACTAAGGTAATAACCACTGTTGCACACCAAGTTAACACGGAGCCCGGGTCCGCGAAGAAACCCGTAAGCCCACTAGCAAAAAAAAACCCCATGTAAACACCGCGAGCCCGCTCTCCTTTCTCCTCGCCTACCCGTGTGCGGGATGCCCAAGTTCACACGACTCTGCTGCGAGGTAGTGGAGTTGGAAAGCGAGGCCACGTACTCGTCCAGAATGGTAGCCATGGAGGCTGCTGCTGCTGCTGCTACTACTACTACTGCAGTGGCTTCGGTAGAGACGACCGCACTCCGTCCCCTCCCTAGCGATCCTCTCGAAGCCACCAGCCAGGCCACAACGCCTTAGCCGATTCGCATCATTGAAGGTCCTCGCGAGGGGCCCGCGGCACTTCCTGTTTCCTGTGGGAATCCAACCATAGAGATGTTCGCGTGAGAACGACAGGCCCTGGAACCGTCCCTGCTCGGTCGGGAAAAAGCGTCATTGGACGCAGAGCGAGGATCAGCGAGATGTTGCGTCCTCCCGACGTAGAGAGGATGGACAGAACAACGGAGGAGCGTTTTTCCTCTTCTAGCCCAGGAAGGTCCTCCAACCATAGAGTAAAGACGCGCGTGTGTCTCGTCTTGGTTGTGGTGGGGAGCTGGGGAGAAGAACAAATTGTATCAGATTGTAGAAGTACAAAAGGCAGAGAGCTAATATTACTTGGCTTTGTTCAGCGTCCCGGTGTGATGTGAAATTGGTCTGAAGATGTGTGTGTGTACGCATTATGTGTATGTACACACACACACACACACTCAAATGTACACCAGCTGGAGTACATCAGAACATGTTCCTTGGTTTATTTAGTGTGCTGCATGAATCCAGCTGTGTGATATATAGGCTGTGATTTAAGGCTATGCCTTAACACGATTTTGGACTTGGTTTATTTAACATCAGGCTTTTGGGGGTTTAAATGGAATTTGTGTGAGGGGATTAAGGTAAACTGGGCTATGTATGTACATACTGATATGTTAACATGTGGACCCTAAAGAAAGTAGTTCTGAGTCTAAGAGAGATGAGCTGCCATCCATCACCTTCATAGACTATTAGCATAGCCCACGCTAGACAATTTAGAGACACCTTATAAATGTAATAGATTTCAGCAGGCACTTGTGGAATTTCCCAGCAATCTAGAGGGCAGTTCCATCAATTGCCTACTTAAGCCCTGGTGCTTTGGACAGCTGCTCCCTAGATGCCTTTGTTTGCTGATCAGAGTTGGCTTCTTGGTTTACTGACAGTTTTGGGGAGATGAAGCAGCAGAAACAATGCCTGGAGCCCCAGTGGATGAAGAGAAGAAACGAAGAGCATGGGTACAAACTCAGGTTTGAGCATTAAGGGAATAATGATAGTAAGGGAGGTGAAGTGTCTCTACTTTTCCTCTATTATTTGGATGGGTTATCAGTCAAGGCTTCTTTAGAATGGCAAACTCCCTTTAACCTAGGGAGACTAGATCTATAGTCTGGTATCTGTGATAGAATAGAGCTGGAAGGAACCTTGGAGGTCTTCTAGTCCAACCCCCACTTAAGCAGGAGAACCTATACCATCTCAGACAAGTGACTGTCCAGTCTCTTCTTAAAAACCTCCAGTGATGGAGCACCCACGATTTCTGAAGGCAAGCTGTTCCACTGATTAATTGTCCTCACTGTTAGGAACTTTCTCCTTAATTCCAGGTTGTTTCCAACCATTGTTTCTTGTCCTGTCCTCTTGTGCTTTGGAGAATAATTTGACCCCCTCTTTTTTGTGGCAGCCTCTCAAATACTGGAATACTAGAATGATTGCTTTCCACAATATTCTGCTGATAAAGTCTTGACTCTAGGAAGTCTGTGGGGAAGACTGGAGCAATGCCCAGTCAAGTGGATTTCAATGAACAGGGAACAGTGTACTCACTAGTAGGTTCCCTGTCACTTGTGGACTAGTTGCATGTTCCATTTGGCTCCTGTGGTCAGCTGGATCCAGGAAGTAGTCAGAATTATTTCCTGCAGGCTTGAAAGAGGTTATGCTCTCTTTCTTGATCCAACTGTATTAGACAACCAGTCTCTAACATTCCCCCAAAAGGGAAGGTTGCTGGGTAGCAACTTCAGAGCACCCTAAACAAAGAACATTATTTTGGACCCTTTTCAGTTGGGATCAGGCCTGGACATAAATGGAAATGGTGTAGATCATGTTGCCTGATAACATTTGCGAGAACCTAGATGGAGGAGTGTAGCCTGCTTAGTTCTCATATCCTTTGATACCACTGACCATGGACTGTGTGCAAGAGTTGAGGATTGGGGACACTGTGCTCCAGTGTTTCTAGTCTTTTCTAAATGAATTGTTCCTTCTACTTTTTAAAGTTCAGATAAAGTTATTGTTGCTTTTGATTATAGTGTAGCTGATGATACCTAGTTGGACATCATCTCCCAAGGCCACTCAAATGATACAATTGAAGTTTTCTGCTAGTGCCTGGAAGCTGAGGGAATAAATATATTAAAAGTAATAAATATATTAAAATATATTAAAAGAGGAGGATTAATAATACAAGCATTTTTCCTTATCCTCCTTTTGTTCTAATTTTCTAATTTGTTTTTTCAGCTTATGTCATGGTAATTGTATTCATTGAATAAAAAGAGGAACATTTCCTTTTTTTAAAAAAAGCTTATTTATACTCATTTCTTTTCCCCTGAAATGAAAATAGCTCTGAGGAAAACAGTAGTTGAAAATCCATCTGTGTCCAGCTTTTCCAAAGTGGGCATGAAACAAAACCAGCAAGCTAGTGCTAGGTGCTATAAGGAAGCAAAAAAAAAGGACTTCTGAGATTAATTCAAATGCTTGCTTTTTTTTCATCAGTATAAAAAAAAATCTTGTTCTGAGCAAAACAAGTGCTAAGTAAACAAATTTAACATATTTTTTTAAAAAAGTATTCTGGGCATAAATGTCTAATTAAAGATTCATGGTATGCTTCAATCATTAAATCCATAAATCTTTTTTTTTCTTTTACAAAAAAGCCACAAAAGATTTTTTAAAAAGGACAGAATTGCTAATTCTGCAATTGCTAGTTCTGACATTTTAACAATCCGCTCCTCCACTATGGGGATTTCAGTACTCTTCTATTTTTGTGCATATAATAATTCTGTTGCTGTTAACTATATACAAAAATTAACCTTACATGAATCTTTTTAAAGCTCAGTATCCTTAAGTTCAATAAAAACTTTTCTGAGTATCTTCTTTTTGCAATATTAATTCTAAAAAAATTATATCATTGTATTTATATCCAAAATTTCTTGGCTTTTTCACACATCCACCATGCATGGTAAAATATCCCAGCCATGTGTTGCTCTTTTCAGATCAGATTGAACACCAAGGAGGTTTGAACTGCCTTGTCTGTTGTGGCATTGTGGCCTTACTGTATATTTGAATATTTTGATGAGATTTGCCACAATGTTGTAGCTGTCATGTGTCTGATTAACAAAACACTTCAAAGAACTTTCAGGCATTTTTTTAACCTAAAAAGCCTTTATTAGTATTACAGAGATATCAGCACAGCGTGGTGGAAATGCTAAGATCTGAATTTTCCTTCCTTTGCACACAACATTCCAGGCATTTTCCCTCCCCTATTATGGGGTCATGATTCACATCTTCCAATTAACTTGGAGGGCAAAGATTCACTTGTTTCTTTTTCCTGGGCTTTCCTTATATTCTCCTCCCCTTTCACTGTCACCTGATTTAACTCTAAAAATACCAGACAGTTCTGCATATATTGTCAAAGCAAGAATATTCAATATTAGCAGCGTTGACAGTAGCTTGATCAGAACCATTTATAATGTTTCCATTTTTGTTTTAAGAGGAAAATGGAGAGATTTTCTCACATTACTTTTGATGATTTGTGGGAAGAAGTTTATTCTTTTTTCAGTTCAGAGGAAAAGGATAAAGTTAGAGAAAAAAAATAGCCTGATTTCTTGTAAAATCTGGAACCGATGTTGCTAAAGTAATAACAGTATTTGGTGTGATTATTTCCAGTTTTAAATAATCACAAAATGCATAGAGTATATTATTTGTTATCATCATTATTGCAAAAAAAAAACCAATACTGGGGAAAAATTAAATTATTATTTTAAAAATAAAAGCAATTGAGACATAAATGCAGATTTATATAATCAATGACAGGGCCAGCTTCCTGATACAATTTCCATGGGTAAGGTTTCTTAAGGCTTTCTGAAGCAGCTGGAAACATTCCAGGATTTCACTGCTTGATTTTATCATTTAAAAAAAATCACCTAGGTAGAATCCAATTATATATATATATATATATATATATATATTGAACATTATATATTTTGTTCATTAGAACTATCCAAAACTCCTTTCTGTAGCATTAGCTTGTATAGGAAAGAGCTCTCATTACATGCTAGTAATTTTTCTCCTGTATCTGTACCACAATAATATATATTGCCTTATTAATTAAACCTGCTACATTTAACCAGATTTATTTTTCCCACATACAGTAGAAGTTGGTGTTATGTTAATGGTTCCATTTAATTCTTCATTGCTATTTTTCTCCTCTAGGTGGCACCTCTTACCAACAAAGATTATAACAAAAGCTATTGACCAAAGACAATACTGTATGAAAAGGCCACAAAATTAGGCACAAAATATAACAGGGCTATTTCATTGTTGTCTTCAAATGACTTTTGTTGTAGGAGAAAAAAAAAGAAGAGAAAAATTGCTTAACTTTTGAGTGAAGTATAATCATTACACAATAAAGCACCCAAAGTTGTGCAGATTTCTTTCTACTTTAGCAGTAAAATCTTATCTGCACTCGAAATAAGATAGTAAAATACTGTATCTGAAATTATTTTAAAATATTGACCATATACTGTAAAATCTAAAATATGCAACATAAAGATCCAAAATCAATATTAAGGCAATGTTTTACAAAGTTAACTGATGATTAGAAAAACTTCAGAGACTTAATCAGGCAGAATGGATTTAAACCCAAAAGAGTTTTTGGAACTCTTAAAAGAGCACAAGTATTTTAAAATATTTAATTAGACTAATAAATATACACATTACCTCAGTGAGGGCTTAATTCCTGCCCTCTCACTTCTCAGCATAGTTACTTTTTAAAAATCATGGTTTTCTACTTTAAGGGTTTTCTCTTTTTTTAAATAGATACCTGAATCCACTGTATCCTATATTCTGTTACTTTTTTTTACCCTGTGTATATAATACAGGTCCAGTCTCCCATTGTATTTCATGTCCTAGTGACTTGTAATTTAAAATGTTTGGATTTCTAGTACTATACTTAGGAAACTTGTGACAGATGTTTGATACCACAAAAAATAAAGGTTTTTTCATTCAACAATCCAGTTTTTAAAAAAATACATAAATTTTCCCCTGGTTTATAAAACAAGAGGTAGTTGATCTCAGTGATTTCGTTTTACATCTTTGTTATAGCTATATAAATGTTTCTCCATCTATCCAAATACTTGCATAGGGAAATCATAGCCCATCCTAAAATATTTGGATTCCCCTGAATTCAGTCAATGGGCTTATGCTCACATAAATTACTTTATGTGATTGGGCTACAAGACTGTCCTAAGAAATGTAAGATTTACCATTTCACTAACTCTGCTGCAGAACATCCCTTACTTGCTGGTACTTTATGTTGTGAGGACTGAGAGAATCATGGCCTGTGGGTTATGCTTCAGCCATTGTGAATTGTTGCAGCTCAGTTGTTCAGTTGCTTCTGCTTCTTCGTGACACAAACACTTTCTGAGTAACTTTTCTGAGGTCTTGTAGGATTGTGCTTGTCTCATCAATGATAGTATCTAGCCATCTTTTCATCTGTCAGCCTTTTCCTCCTGGGTTTCTTCTATTTTCCCAAGCATTGGAGTCTTCCAAGGATTCTTGCTTCTGCAACAGTATGTCTAAAATATTCAAACTTTATTTATTTATTTGATATATATAACCACTCATATTGTAATCACCACCCAGGGCAGTTCACAAGACTACAAAAACAGCAACCTTCCCATGCAACCATCCCAATAAAAACTCATGGTGCCTGAACAACAATCTCCCACACAGCAACACAGCATCTTGCTGGGCTGTAACCTCATCTTTCTCCAACACTTTAGTTTCATTATTGGTCCCTCCAGCAATGAGTCTTGTTTTATTTCACCCATTAACAAACTGCTTGCTTTTCCCACGATACTAGATGTTCTCAACCATTTTTCCAGCACAATAAATCAAGGGCATCAAATTTTCTTCACTCAGCTTTTGTGATGGTTGTGCTTTATCACCATATATTACAATTGGGAAAATCATGGCCTTGACAAAGCATACTTTGATTGTTTCTGCATCCAGAGGCTAACTTTGTACTAAGATATAATTTGGTATGCTGCTGTAGAGTTGTGTGTGTGTGGTTTTTTTTTTTTTGTCTTAGCAGGATGTGCGAGCCCAGCCATTATGTTTTATTATTATGTATGACCACTATGGCTCATTCCACAAACTAGTTAAAAATTTCAGCTTAGCACAAAATCCACTCTTTGTCTTTTAATCAGTAGCTAACCTTAGAAATATAGAGGCTGTGTTCCCATAAGATACTTAACCTTAAAGCTCCAGGTTGAATTACTGAAAAATGGGAGTTAGTACTATAGGATCGATATGTTTATATCACATGCTATACTCATATTAATAATAAGAATAAGAATAGTAAAGTTGGTAGGGACCTTGGAGCTCAGGAAAGAAACCCTATACCATTTCGGACAAATGGCTGTCCAGTCTCTTCTTAAAAACTTCCAGTGTTGGAGCATTCACCGCTTCTGGAGGGAGGTTGTTCTACTGGTTAATTGTTCTAACTGTCAGGAAGTTTATCCTTAGTTCTAGGTTGCTTCTCTCCTTGATTAGTTTCCATCCATTGCTTCTTGTCCTTCCTTCAGGCACTTTGGAAAATAGCTTGACTCCCTCTTCTTTGTGGCAGCCCCTGAGATATTGGAACACTGCTATCATGTCCCCCCTTGTCCTTCTCTTCATTAAACTAGACATACCCAATTCCAGCAGCCGTTCCTCATATGCTTTAGCCTCCAGTCCCCTAATCAACTTTGTTGCTCTTCTCTGTACTCTTTCTAGAGTCTCAACATCTTAGTATGGCTTAACACAATGGTCTCTTTCACACACTTGCTAAGATAGTGATGGAATTTCTGCCCCATTTTTACCTAATCTGGCATATGAAAGCCAGCTAGTATGTTCTGAACATTTTACTGTTTTGCTGTCAGAGAAAAATTGGGTAGCAAATCAGTAGAAAGCAGTTTTCCTGGTCTCTGACAAATGGAACATAGTGGACGTGCTCAGTTGTTTAATGCCAATACCTATTGAATATTCACTGCAAGGCAACAAATTGTAAACAGTATTCATATTTTCTAGTTTGATGTCTACCACAGAGATAAGTTGTTTAATCTATTCTGCTTAACCTCTGCAACAGAAGAAGAGGATAAGATGCTTATTTCTCAGGGACAGTGGGTTTTGGAAATGGCAAATAAGTCCTGAGACAGTCAGCCTATTGGCAATGCAGCAATACAGTATCTATTTTGTTACGTTTAGAATTCTGTGTCACACTCAGCTTACAAAATTTCACATCTCCGATTAACACAATACTTCTTTGCAGCATAATCTGAGCTCTCTCAGAATGACCATGACGGAAAAGAGAAGATGTATTGTTTTTCATTTTCCTTTTGAAATTAGGGAGTTGGCTTTTCTTTCCCACAGTGCTGAGCTGTCAGAAATGCACAATGAATCAGCATTTGTTGACTCGGTCAATAAATAATTAAACATGTGCTTGACAAGGAAGATACATGTTTCATCTCCAGAAATTATCTGCCTTGGTTTCACCGGGTCTATTGTGATTGTCTTTCTTGGGCTGCCTCTCAGAGATCCTGATTTTCCCCCCACCCCAGCCCAGCCCAGCCCCCCACAAAGTTTTTAATCCTTGACTGATTGCAAACATCACCAACTTCTATTAGGGTACACTCCCTTGATTTTATCTAGCAGACTTCCTTCCATGAATAGCTGCATTGGATTGAAAGAGATGAGCATTCAGTCATCAAGAACTGTGTGACTTCTTTGAGAAAGAGAAACCACCCTGCAGATATATGAAGCTAAAATTCTACTTAATGAATTGTAGAAGCTACCTGGAAGGCACTTGATCACGAAAAAGCAGTGTATAGATCTCTGGTGTTGAATCAAAGCATTCTGAGACAGAGCCACAATTTTATCCTGAGAAAAAGCCTTATTTGGGTGTGGGTTAAGTGCTGCATGGCTTGATTCCCATGAAATTATTGGCTCTTTGTGTTTCTTAGGAAAATACTAGGCAATCAAGGTATAGAGTATAGTTGGTTGTTGCAGTGAATTTTGTATGGGATGTTATTTTTTTTCATTGCTTTACCTTGTAAACTGCCTAGAGCCACCCAGTGAAGCATATTCACCAGCAGTGGATTTTCAAAGTGACAAACAAAGCCACAGTCTGGTGACCCTCCTCCAATGGATTCTGTTCAGATTTTACAACCCTTTGTGAGAATGAAGGCTGTCACACAATTAGTAGAGCCTCTCTGTGAGTTTTAACAAGGTTAGAGGTAAATAGCCCAAAGCCAATCTAACCCATTACCATAACAAGGGACCCAGGAAGAGGAGGACTAAAGGCCAGGGCAGCAGGCCCCCAAGAAACCCAAAGATTAGACTTTTTTTGTTGTTGTTAATTGCGAAGTCGTGTCCGACCCATCGCGACCCCATGGACAACGTTCTTCCAGGTCTTCCTGTCCTCTACCATCTTCTGGAGTCCATTTAAGTTCACACCTACTGCTTCAGTGATTCCATCTAGCCATCTCATTCTCTGTCGTCCCCTTCTTCTATTGCCCTCAATCTTTCCCAGCATTAGGCCCTTCTCCAGTGAGAAGATTAGACTTAACATTTACCATAAAGTGGGTTTTTATATTGGGCAATTCTTGGAATTCTTAATAGCTTCTGTTACTCTTGCAATAACCTTAGTTATCAGGGACCTGCATCCTTGACTCTTTGTCTACTTAATTTCCCATTCTGGTATCAGCAGATAACAAATTGGTCAGCTCTCTGGTTTAATCTGTCACCATTCTTTACTCAAAGATGCCATTTAAAATTTAAAAACAGTGACATAACCATCCTGCTCAGTAGGTCAATAAATCTTGACCTTTTATCAGTCATATAAAGGTAAATGTTGACCTATGGAGCAACTTCTCTGTTGTTTAAGACTAACAACTTTTGCTCCTCTGGTTTTTCTTGTTTGTAAACCATATACTTCAATACAACATATTTACCCCTCTCTGCCTTATTCTGAACTCTATGCCTATTAGAGTAACAGTCATATAGTTGAATTCCTATACTTTGCATATCATGACTTTTGAGTTTGTTTTTACAGAAAACAAAAAGATGGTAAATATTTTGAGGTAAAGGTAAGTGAGAAATGAAATCCCACTTTGCAGATCAGATTTATACTTATAAAAAGCATAGTTGCTCCTCATTTAACAACCGCAGTGGGGACTGGCAACTCCATTGTTAAGTGATGCAGCCATTAAGTGAAACATTGTGTAAGCACACCCAATTTACATCAGTTCTGCTAGCATTTAAGTGAATTACCTTGGACATTAAGGGCAACATCACATGACCACAACTTGCGACCTTCTGCCATCTTTACCATTGACTTTGCTTGTTGGAAGCCAGCTGTGAAACTTGCAAATGACGATCCCATGACCACAGGACATTGCAACCATTGTAACCGTGTGTTGATTGCCAGGCACCTAAATTGCAATCCCATGACCATGGAAATGCTGCAACCATTGTAAGTGCTAAGGCTAGTTTTTTAGTGCTGTTGTAAGTTCAAACAGTTGCTAAACCGCAGTAGTTAACTGGGACTGGATAGACAGCTTCCATGCAGAGTCATTTGCATTTTATCCTTGTCTCAGATGCATAGCTATCAGAAGAAGGGGTTAAGTTTTGTGCAGCCATGATGGAAACCCCACCCCTCATATGTTTTGAGTGACATTGCGATTCAAATACCCAAAAGCAAAGCTTGCATCATGACATCACAATGTATGTTCTATAATTTTGGCATTATCACGGTTAGGAATGGTTTTCTTTCTTGGATGTACATTAATTCTCAACCAGCACAGATAAAATATAGCCAGAGGGTGTTGAAGTCTAATACACCTGGAGGACACGAGGTGGGGGGGGGGAAACTGAATTAGGCACAGTAAAAAATATAATAGTAGTTAAATACAACAGCTCCTTGTCCATCTTCAGACCAGGCATGGCAATATTCATTGAACCTTCAAAAGCTCAGCTCTGCATCCGGTAACAGGAGAAGCTTCATAGACTTGCCACAGATAGGTAAGTTGCTTTATTCTAGACAAGAAGGAAGTTATATATATGCAGAAGATCTGCACATTATGTGTGTGAGAGGCAGCACAGCCCAGGAATTAAATCCTAAGTTTTTCCCTCCCATTCTTTTTTGTTTTGTTTTTTTCCTGGCCTTGGGAACCAGAAGTATCTATTCCATATTAACCTGTCTCTGCCCTGAGAATTGTTGCTTCCTGCCTCATAGTTCAGCCCTTTTTCCATCACAGCCAGGATCTTCTAACAGAAGAATGGGCACTTCAGTGGACACAACCCCAAATCTCCTACCTACACTATATAAATGCTTATAAATTAGCCATAGTTTCAAATTATAAAATAATTGGTATGAGTAGCTACCTCATACTTGTTGGACGCATGGATGATGTCTGTTCCCTGAAACTGTGATCTGCTACATCAGTGTTTCTCAACCTTGACAATTTTAAGGCATGTGGACTTCAACTCCCAGAATTCCACAGCCAGCATTGCCTTAAAATTGCCAAGGTTGAGAAACACTGTGCTACATCTTCAATATAACAGGAAGACCCAGCTTGGGCCAAGACTTGTTTCCATTGACTTGCATGGCTTAGAGATGCCTTTATGCAAATAAATCTGTGATGGAAAGATGTACTAGTCAGAGGTATTATGCCAAATCATATTTGCATGCAATAAGCTTAGCATGCAGATTGTTCCTGTGCAAAAATTAGGTGGGTAGAATGTGATTAGTCTTTCCATAGGGACATATGGATGGTGCATATATATCTCCCAGCCTCCACAAACAGCCAAGCAAACTTGCAGAAAGCACAACTGCTTTCATGATTTGAAGAGAAAGCTTCATTTCTGCTACAACATGTTGTGAAATCCCTCTTTCAAATGTCTTGCGCAACCAAACCATTTATCTTGACTAATAATAACTTGGGGATAAGGCAAACAGTGGTGAGATGAAGCCCATGGCTGCCAAAATTATATGGCCAGAGTTATAGAATTTGAGTTGCAAAAATCTGTTAAAGAATATCCTGTATCTCCAGTCTGTACCGTGACTGAATGGAACTGTGAAAAGATGTCAGGATATATATTATAAAAACACACATTTAACCATGGTGGGAGATTAAAACCACCATTACTGTAAAGTCATTACTGAGAAGGACCTTTGTCCCATCTGTGTCAAGGAAACTCTGAAGTAAAAGTAGAGAAATGGAAGAAAGCCCCTCTTGTTCCTCAAGAGAAAGATTGGGAAGTATCTGGGAACTGCAGCTAAGGCTGGGAAAAACACTAAATAAGATTGGGGTTTATGAATCGGGTCTCAAATGACTGACTTTCTGAAGTGTTCATTATTTGACTTTTTGTAAAAATCATACTTCTCCGAGGGCTCCAAGTTGGATCATTCTGGGAATTGGTATCTGCACATCTTAAAAATTGCCAAGGATGAGACAGGCTGATTTGGATCATATAGTTTGGAGGTATAGTCTTGCAAAAAAACAAAACAAAAAACAAAAAAACAAACAACCTTGTTTGTTTGCTTGGGACTTTGAGCGAACAAGACTTGCCCCTTTTTATTTGTGTCTTTATACAGGGAGCCTTTTTTTGTGTTGCTCATCCCATCGGCTTTCTTTACCTAGCTAGCGCTCTGTTCCGAGAAGGGAGAAGCCTTGGCCCGAAGTCCTGACGCCCAGTAGACTCAAGTTACAGGGAAAGGAGGTGGCCCTATGCAAATGAAGGAGGCCGTAGGAAAAACAAAAGCACCTGACAGACCTGGGAAGTTAAATGGAAAGCGGAGAGGATGAGATTCCCGCCCAGCATACAAACCTACCTGTCCTGGCTACTCTTTCACTGCTCCGGGACACCTGAGCGATGTAACCCAGAGAAAGAGAAGCTGCCGCTTTGCGTGGGAAACGGTGCCCGACCCACGCGGGGCTCTTAGGTGGCCACCGTCAGCTGAAAGTTGCTGGCTTGGGTTCTTTTGGTTTAATTAAGAAAAGAAGCCGGTATCCAGCTGCAACATTTTCTGCTTCAGATCGTACCCTCTTTTCAAAAGAGGAAGCCGAAGGGTGCCCTTTTCGGCTCCTCAAGCCATGCCGCCCCAGGAGCTCTTGGATTACTCGCCCACCTTGCGAAGGAGCAGCTGCCCCAGCCGAGGCAGCGGCTCGGAGCTGGGCATTAAATGTGTCCTCATCGGGGATGGAGCCGTGGGCAAAACCAGCCTGATTGTCAGCTACACAACAAATGGATACCCAGACCAGTACCAGCCGACTGCACTGGACACCTTCTCAGGTAGGCAGGCAGGCAGGCAGAGCAGAAACCTCAGCCTGTCAAAGGAGCTGGATAGAGTGGGGCTTGCTGGAGGAGGAGGAGGGGGGGGAGAGAAATATCTTCTGGGTTTAGCGCTGTGTGTTTTGAAAAGATAACAACTATTAATATAGTGGGATGAAACACCCACTGTTGGTTTCAGTGTGGTTTAAAAAAAAAAAAAAGCCTGGTGTATAGGATTGTCAAAGCTGCTGCTTTGTTTCCTGGGCACAGGCACTGTAGAGAAAAACAGGTGACTTTTTCTGAAGAGGCAGGTAAAGTTAGATGAAAAATGAGGATATGTTCCCCTTTTCTATGGGATCCTTGGGCAAAATAAAAAAGGAAGAAAGGCAGAGCTGCTGGTAGGCTTTATGTCAAAGGAAAGTTTTTGGTCTTTTGCTGTTTATGAAGTGTTCAGGTGGAACAGGAGGAAAGAGAGAGGTCTGACCTGAACAAAAGTTTTCTCATTCTTTCTGGAAAAAACAAACTAATCTAATCAAGTGGGAAGTGATTGATCGGTATTGTTTCATTGATGGTACAATTTTATGTCTGCTCAACCTTGTTGAGATAAATGTGGCATTCCTAGGATAAATGTATATAGACTTGCATTCTACCTTCTTGAAATTTAGTGGTGTTATGTATTTTGCAGCGTTCCATCTATAATTCCAATAATATTGATATTTCATAAGTTTGAGAAGTTCTCAAAAAGGAAACTATTATAAACACATCTTGAACTCAAAAAGAGGTTACAAAGCAAGACGTTTCAATGTAGCCTTTCACCTGAAACGAGGGTGGTAACACCCTCACCCCACTCAGCTAGCAGTGCAAGACAGCTAGTCTGTTTGCCTTGTTTGAAGTGATTTTAATTCCTTAAGTAAAGCTGAGGGAGCATTACCTTTAAATTGTTTTTCCAGTTAAGATATAAGAAAGAGCAGATAATTGTATGCCACTTGAAAGTGGGTCAGTAATTCATTTATAAGGATGAAACTCCAACAGTACTTGGGGGGTTGACTATCCCAGGTATCAGCTACCTACACTACAGATCATGTAGCCTAAGACTAAACTGGAAATGCAGGAAGGATGACTGTGGATTATCCCTCCACCCCAAAAAAGATACACATTCAATTGACTAGCTAAGCTTAGCAATTGATAAACCATGCTCCAGCATTGCAATTCTGTGCATGCCTCCTTAAAAGTAAATCCCATTAAGATCAATGGGATTTCCTCCCTAGAAAGTTTGTATAAGGTGACTGTCTAAACACACTTTTGTAGCAGTTATAGAATAAAGTGGTGCTAGACTTTTGTGTGCTGGGGTAGATAATCCATCTGATTCATTCTTTATTACTTCCAGTTTACCTAGTGTCTGCAACTGATTGATTACGTGCCATCAAGACAGTGTCACTTTACTGACCACATAGCCTGTTCTTCTCCAAAATGATTTAATGGTTATACCTGTATCTCTACCTATGCATCTTGTACATATACTGTAAACTTGGTTTTTAATTTTGAAAATGATGTTGAATCTAGATGCTGAATCCACATTTAATAAATAAAATGTAACATTAAAAATAATAGAACATCTGCTTGCATCAGAAGAACCATTTCCCACAGTGCCAAAGTTCTCGTCTCACAGACAGACAGACAGAAACTTTGTTTTTGTCATTGGCCAATAAAAGGTACAGTCAATAAAATGAACAACATAAAATTATCTTCTAACCACAAGAACAATTAGTAACTACTTGCAAATTTGCAGGATTTTTTTTGTGTGCCATCTATATGTATATATTTGAACTTGGCTGTGATGTTTGTCTGTGTCATATGTGTGTGTGTGGGGGGGTATATGCATAATGGTATTTTTTTTAAAAAAAACAATGCAACAAAATTGCATTTTAATGTATGCTGATTTAGTGTACATTTAAAGTGACAATAAAGTTTTTATTCTATTCTACTTGTGGGTGGAGCTTACACATAGTGCAATAACATTTTAGGACTTTTAGAGAAATAAACTGATTTTGATTTTTTTTTAATAAATAGTGCAGATAAAAAGCTATCAGAGTGCCCTGGAAATTTAAATAAAAGAGGGATAATCAGTTAGTGGTGAATGTACTGTAGAACTGGCAATAGAGAAGAACATGAACTGTGGTTTCTATGGTACTTGTATCAGAGGGGCAGTACTGGGTTTCATATGGCCCTTTCTTCTATGTCCCTTCCAGGACAGCTGTGGAGAGAACATTAAATCAAAGATAAGGCTATCCTAAAGTTGGGAACTGTGATAAACATGAGACTGATTTAGACACAGTGATTTGTGTTTGACCTTCTGCCCTACTATTGATCTAGCTTGATCTGACTCTAAGATTAAGATGGCATCTCACTGGAGAAACTATAGAGCAGTGTTTCTCAACCTTGACAATTTTAAGGCATGTGGACTTCAACTCCCAGAATTCCACAGCCAGCAATGCTGGCTGTGGAATTCTGGGAGTTGAAGTCCACATGCCTTAAAATTGTCAAGGTTGAGAAACACTGCTATAGAGGTTCAGTTTCTTTTGGATTGCTCTTTCCCAGGAAGTAGCTGTCTGCCAATATTAGACTGGTCAGTTTGCTAGGGTTGTCTATCATGAGGATGACTGGCTGTCAGCAATCTCTTAATGCTCCTTGAAGCCTCTTAGTCAAAACATCTCATCTGAAGAGTTTCTGTCAGTCTGAGCATAACCTTGTAAGGAAGGAAATCGGAAGCGCGGTTAGAACCAGCCGAGACAGTTTCTGTTCTTGATATTTTTGATGAATTGCTGTTGCACTTTCTCTAACCTGGTGACAGTCTAGATGGATTTGCTCATCTTTCAAAATTCCCAGCTAGCATAGTGATTAGAGAATACTTATTCCTCAGGAGTAAGGAACATGGAGTTGTTTGTTGTACAGTACAGAATAGAGCTATGAAAAGTAGCATATTGGAATTTTGGAATTTATTTTTTTCTTTTAAATAACTATCACTTAGCAAGCCAAGAAGGATTTGAAATATACACCAGCCCTCAGAATGTGTCAGAAATTTCTGAGGAAGATATAGAACAGCCATCTCCAACCTGGTACCTTCCTGATACATTGAACTTCAAGGACATCATCAGTTGTTTATACTGCCTCCCATGCTGGCTGGGAATCATGGAAGTTGAAGGCATAAGATGGGAGAAGAGTAAAGTAGGTGTTTGACCTCAACAGTCTGAATAGCTGCAAGATGTTGTGCCTTTACTGTAATGACTGATTAATCCAACTACTCCCAATTTGAGTATGAGCTCCTTCTGAACCTGGTTCACTGCATCCACATGGGCTCTTAAGGATTAGAAAGGAATTACATGCTCTCAAATCATAACCAGTAACTGCTAGATGATAATATAAAGGATTAATCTTTGGATGTTTTCAAAAACATCCTGTCTTTTTATTGTTTGAAAATTGTAGTATGAACCAATTTTGATTGATCTATCTGAAGCAGCGAGTAGGAATGTCTACACAGCATGTGGTTTTAGATTTATTTTATGAAACAGCAAAAGGAACCAGTATACTAAAGTGGCAGTGAACTAGAGCTCCATATAACCCAATACCTGACTTTCATCTTGAACAGGAGCTCACTAAATGGCATCTATCTTCCCAGGAGCCGCATAGGATCCCAAAGCTATATTGTTGTAGAGAATATTCATACAATGTATTCATAGAATTCATATCACGAAAGAATTGGAAGAGATGTTGTGATCACTTTATCCAACATCCTGCCTAGTGTAAAAATCCATTTTGCATCTGAACCCTGTGAACTCCTTTTACAGTAAGCCAAGAGCCTCAAACATTTGGAGGAGGACGGTTGAAAAGTAAAATGTTCCAGAAACTTAAAACAGACTCAGTTTGGGTTCTAGCCCCACCCATTCTGAAGTGTCTTGCTTAACTCTGGTTTGTAAACGACAACAGTGACCTGGAACAGACTAAACTATATGCCTGAATTATTGCACAATGTGTGAACACGATTGCTGCCTCCTGAAGGACAATCAGCTATCTAATCTGTTTGGGCTTAAGTCAGTTTGCTCCAATCTAATAACTGGAATACTCAAAGTTATAGTCCCAATATATGTGGAGAGGACCAGGTTGGGGCAGGCTGAATTTGCTGCTATATCTGTTCTGTTCTAATTTTGAACATGTAATATTTAAGTTATCGCTTGATTTGGCTTGTATTACCAAGCAAACTATGTGCAAACCAAAGGACAGTCTGTGATTCAGTGAACTATGGCTTGAATTTTATACTACAGTATATCCTTTAAGTTTAGATTACAGAGATCATTCCACTGGTACACGTTTAATATACAGTGTATTTAGCTCATTACATGTTGTACCTGCTTTTAAAATCTGATGTGATAGAAGGAATACATGATAAGAAGCACTTTTTTTGGGATCAGTCTTTCCTAAACAACTATTTTCTCCTTTTTTAAAAACAATACTACAAAAGTAATATTGGATCTTTTTTTTTTTGAAAATTCTTTTTAAAAATGTAATCTAGTAGAATGGAAGCTTGAGCCTCCAAGTTCAACTCCCAACAACTCTAGTGAAAAGGCCGATAGTGACAGCTTCTGGAAGGTGTATTTCAACAATATCTGGAATCTGAAGAAGGCTAGATGTTTCCCCTGCTCACTTTGATTAAGACCAGATAGTGAATGCCAAAAATGCCTTCCTGTTTGTGCCTTTTCTTCTGTTTTCAGGACAGCAGATCTCTAACCTTAGGGGAACAAGTGAGGACTAACCCTGATGAGGAACTACTACAGGTTGCAATTTTCCTTATTTGCTTTGCATAATATGATTTCCTCAAAACAATTTCTAAAGATGCTTGTTTGTTTTCAACACTTTTCCAAGGACTCTAAGTATCAGGATACAGTGTGGTTTAATCTTTCTCTCTTTTCATCTTCCTACAGCAGCAACACTAAAAGATAGACTCCCTAGGGCTGCCCAGTGAGATT